CCCCCCACCCCCTTAGTTATCCAAGCCCTATCATCCAGCTAACCTATCTCCTTTCAAAACACCTTCGTATCAATCTACCTTTAAAAAACGATTAGTCCCTTTTCGAACTTTCCTTTTGAAATACGTTGAAAATAAGTAGTTAATTTTTCAAATTTCTCGAAATACTTCCTCCCGAAAATTCTTTACAATTCGACGCTTCCCTTTTTTTGAAATTTCACGATCGAAATTATTTTTTTCCTCGAAATTATTTCTTTTTCAAATTACTTTTGTACTAGTCTCGAAAATACGTGCCAATTAATGCATTAGTTCCACAAAATCTTTTCAAAATACTTTAGAATTAAAATCACCCCTTTTCACAAATTTCTTTGAAAATCTTTTCCGTTTGAAATTTTCCTTCTGAACTTCTCTTAATTAGTTATTTCTCAAAATTTTGAATTTAAAAATACTTTTGAACTCGTTACTTCTTTTCAAAATTTCTTTAAAATATTTTGAAATTAATTAATTATTTTTCTTCGAAATTTCTTATTTTTTTTCGAAATTTCCTGAATACTTTAGAATTAATTCATCTCTTCTTTTGGAATACCCTTAATTTCTTTCCAAATTCCTTGGAATTCTTTTGCAACTCATAATTAACCCTTTTCCGAAATTTTGAATTCACATTTTGAACTTTGAAATTCATTACTTATTGCAAGGAAGATGAGCAATAGCGAACTTCAACAATCAAACAACATCATGCACATGAGACCAGATAGTCGTGACCTCGAACCAATAGCAGAATTGCATCACGAGCTTCACTAAATAAGAGCACACCAAAAGCTCATAATTGACAATGCTGGAATAGTGTCATCATCATCAACGAAGAACCAATGTTGATATCCTATCTGGCACTCGGCGCCTAGACTACGAATGGCAGATCCTATCTAGCCTAGACTACAATGTCGCTGATGACATCAACAACTCCCCGAAGTACGAGCAGGTCTCGGACAATGTCGTACGCTTCAAGCACCGGGTATGTCTCTCGTATCAGTCACAACCTCGTTCCTCAACTCACAGATGCCACATGCACCCAAGGACCACCATGCGCCCTATCCAGCATACAGCAGCGCAACTCGGCTATGGCTGCCTGCTCCTTCCAGCTCCCCCGTGAACGCACGAGCCTGGCCAGCGTTAGCGCAGGAGCGCTTGCGCAGCATGCAGCCAGTGCCTGAATACCCAATGCGTAGGCTGACCCTTCTCTATATCGAAGTGGCCTGCTGTTGCGTGCAGTAATGCGGTACTGGGCCCTGGCCCATAAGCTTCCGGTAGGCCCCACAAGCCTGAGCCTCAGTCCGAAGTAAGCAGGCCCAGGGCCTGTGGTGGTTATTAGAACCCAACTGCCCTCAGCCTTTGTTCGGTCCACTTTGTGTATCCGGCCCATGGCCTGCCTAAGTTACATGCAATGAAAGGCAGCCTTGGCCTGGGCGCTTCCAACCAACTAGCCCTGCACAACTGCCTGAATTTCCCCAGTTGCGTGGTGACCCCAAAATGGCCTGTAGGCCTCGGTCGTGCCTGCCTTCACTTAGGGCGGGCGACTATGTGAAACATAGGCCCTGTAGGGCATATCGAGGCCCTGTGCCTCGCATTATTTCTACGAAATTATTTCAAAATTTCTTTTCTTTGCTGACATTTCTTTAAATTCACGTTCGGATTTAATCCCTTCCTTCATAATTAATTATTATTTTTTCCAAAATTACAACGAAAAATTTTACAATTCCACCTCCTAATTCTTTTTCTATAATTCAAAAATATTTCGAAACTTCACATAACTAAATTTTGAAATAAATTCAAACTTATTTTCTTCCAATATTTTGAACAACGAATTTTGTAAATCTCTCCTTCGGATCCTTCAAAATTTTGTTATACCCAAATTAACTTCGAATAAATAAAATTCCAATCAGGAATAAATTTATTCAATAGTAATTCCCTACTTTCCAAAAAAAAAATAAAAAAATAAAAAAATTGGCAATTATCTTTATTTTTGAATTTATTGATAAATAAATAAGGGATTGCCCCCCCCCCACCTCCACATGTCGCCACGCCAAACCAAGAACTCCCAACGCGCCGCCACCGCCACTGCTGCTACTGCATCCTCCGCATCCGTTTCGGCCGCGTCCTCCACCCCCTCTTTCCCCGACATGGCCGCATCCTCCATCAACATGTCTGATATCCGCACCGACTTGGTCGATAGCATCGCCCGCAACCTCGCAGGCGAACAACCACTAGCAAACACCGCCACCTCCGACCTCTCCGCCATCCTCCACACACTCAACACCTTCCAAACCTCCATCACCACCTCTCTCGGTGACATAAAGGCCACCATGTCGTCCATATCCGACCGCGTCACCACGCTCGAAGGGAACAATCCCTCCATCACGGTCGTCACCACGGTCGCACCTCCCTCCTCCATAGCACAAACCACTCCCTCCTCCACAGCCGCCTCCAGCAACACCCCCCCGCCAACTTCCTCCACTCCTACCACCTCTACCACCACATCCACCAACCCTTCCTCTTCAACCCTTCCCCCCCTTCATCATCCACCACCGTTTCGTTCCCCCCACCTCCTCCCTCATCCGGCGCATTCAACACACCGCCTCACTCCTCGCCCATCCACGTCACCCCTCTTCCCCCCCGCACTCCCATACCCTTCCCCAACCCATCATGACGACCTTCACCATCCCCACCATCCGTCCCACCTGTTCCCAAGTCACCTCGGGGGTTTACCCCGCAATGCCACAGCTCCCCCCTAACTACCTCCTTGAGGACAACAAGCAACTCGACTACACCTACTACGACACTACCCCCGATAACCTCAGCTTCAACACCCTCGCCCGGATCGTTCTCCGCGACGGGGAAATCCCCCGTTCCTTCCGATTCGTCGACATCATGTCCTTCTCCGGCCTCCCCCACGAGGATGTTTTCCTCTTCCTAACCCAGCTCCAGAACTCTTTTCACCTCCACCACATACCCCTTGCCCACTGGCTCCCCATCGCCACCTCCCGCCTCCTCGACAATGCTGCCAAATGGTGGATGGCTGAAGTCAGCAACCGCCGAGCCTCCGGAGGACCACGTCACTCCTTCCTCCAATGGGCCAACCTTCTCACTGCCACCTTTCGCCCCCAGAAAACCATTGATGACTACCTTGAACAATTCTGCCACCTCCGCCAGACCGGTCCCACGGACCACTTCGTCCAATATGTCCGCTCCCTCCGCCACCACCTCCCCACCATCATCATTCCCGACTTTGCGTTCATCTCCCGCATCAAACGAGTATGCCACAAAGACCTTGCAACCGCCCTCGCCCACGAACCCGATATGCCCCTTGCTGACCTCCTCTCTCGCATGCTTCACCACGATCGACTCCTCCACCCCCATCACCAGCCCACGCCCGCTTCCTCTCGCACCCGCTTTTTCCACCACATCACCCCTGAAGACACCACCTCCATCACTTCCTCAGACGAGTTCACCACACCTGACCCCGACGCATCTTCCGATTCACTTGAATCTTCATCCCTCACTTTCGAGATCGCAGTTCCCGACCACCCTCATCTACCCCACCCTCCCGCCTCAAGAAACTCACCCCCGAGGAGCGCACCTACCTCCAAGCAAACGAGGGTTGCTTCCATTGTCGCCAATTGGGGCACCAACAAACCAACTGCCCCAACGCCGCACAATTCACCCGCCAGTCCGCCTCTACTCGACCCGCAACCTCCGCATCACTGCCCTCGGCAAGCGCGGGTCCCTCCTCATCATGAACACAGTCCCCAGGACATTGATCTGACATCGACAATCCGTCTGCCTCCCCCCTCTCCGGTGATGCCCCCTCCACCGGACGACTCCTAGGCATCGCGAACGCCTCCCACTGCCCCATGCTCCTCTACCCTTCTTCCAAACCCATCCACTGTCACCTTCTCCGATGTTGTTGAGGAACAAGCTCGACACGATCGGCTTGTCTGCTTAGGCAACGAACAACGCCGCCTCAACACAATCATCTCCACCGCCAACTCATCTCGTTTCCACCTCAAATTCATCATCGCCACCCTTGGTGTGTCTACAACTAAGTTTCGGGCCCTCCTCGACATTGGAGCCACCGGTAACTTCATCACCGACGCGTGTGTCGGCAAAGCCGGTCTTACCTCTACTGGTTATGACTCCCCGATCACGATTCGCCTAGGGGACAAAGACACCGCTGTCGTAGTAGACCGCGCGGTTCCCGAGACCACCATGACCGTTGGAACCCTCTGCAGTCAGGTCTCATTTGATGTCATGCACTTGATGTGCGACATCGTCGTAGGAACCCCGTGGCTAGACCGCTACATGTCATACGCATTCCACCTCAACTTCCTTCGCCTCACCGACCCCCCCGATACAACCATCGATGTCCCCTATCTCCCATATCCAACCTCCCAAGGCTCCGTCACCCCGCACCAACTCCTCCACATGGCTTGCCTGAACCCCGACTCCGCCTACTATTGTCTTGTCCTTGATCACGAAAGTCCCGAGGACTTACTCCCGACGGACAAACCCGATCAAGCCCCCCCCTCCGACCCTGCCATCACCTCGATCCTCGACGAGTTCAAGGACATATTTCCCGAGTCCTTACCCGCCGGACTACCTTTGGATCGTGGCGTATCCCATACCATCGATTGGAGCCCGGACATTCTCCACCTTGCCGCCCTCCATACCAACTCTCTGTCCCCGAAGCTGAAGAAATTAAGCGGCAACTCAGTGAACTCCTTGAAAAAGGGTTCATTAAGCCAAGTTCATCCCCCTTCGGAACCAACTGCCTTTTCGTCAAGAAAGGTGGAACTTCAGAACTCCGCATGTGCACAGACTACCGCGCCTTGAGCCGGATCATGATAAAAAACAAGTATCCCCTACCTCGGATTTCCGAGCTCCTTGATCGTCTCCGTGGAGCCAAGTACTTTACCCAGATCGACCTTCGCAGTGGCTTCCACCAGATCCGTATCCGCGAGGAGGACACCCACAAGACCGCCTTCTGCTCTCGATTCGGGCACTACGATTTCCTTGTGATGCCATTCGGACTCACCAATGCCCCCGCCACCTTCCAATCTACCATGAACCACATCTTCTGCAACCTCCTCGAAGTCTGCTTCGTCGTCTACCTTGATGACATCCTTGTCTTCAGCCCCACCTTCGAGTCCCACCTTCAGCACCTCCGCCAAGTCCTCTCGATCCTCCGAGAGCAAAAATTCTACGCCAAGCTCAACAAATATGCGTTTGCCGCTCCGAGTGTCTCCATGGACTTCGTGTGCGGCCTCCCCAAGAYCGACCGCGGGYATGATTGCATCTACGTCAYTGTCTGCCRCTTGACCAAACGTGCCCACTTCATCCCTTGCACGACCTCRCACAGTGCCAAAGACGTCGCCACACTCTTCTTCGACCATGTTGCTCGCCATCACGGCTTCCCCGAGAACATCATCAGTGACCGTGATCCTCGCTTCCTCTCACAATTCTGGAAACACCTCTTCACGACCTACGGAACCACACTCAAGTATAGCACTGGCCGATGGACAAACAAAGAAGATGAACGATACTCTCCAAAGAATCCTGCGGAAGTATTGTCATCCACAATAACACGATTGGGATCAGTTGCTCACAGCCGCTGAGATTGTCTGCAACAACGCCGTCTGCCCTTCCACCGGCATGTCCCCATTCTACCTCGACCTTGGCTACCACCCTCGCTTGCCCTCTGACTTCTTGTTCCGTTCGCAGCTTAACCCATCCAACCCCTGCCCCTCTCTCAATGAATGGGCAACAACAATGAACAGACTCCTGAACGAAGCCTCCGAAGCCATTGAACGAACCCAAGAACAGCAAGCCAACAAGACTAACAAACTTAGATGCGATGTGTCATTCAAAGTAGGGGACAAAGTCTGGCTCTCTGCCAAACGCTTTGAACCCGAACACGGCTTGTCCGAGAAACTCTCCAACAAATGGCTTGGTCTCTTCCCCATCATTGAACAAACCTCCCCCGTCAACTACAAACTCCAACTTCCCCCTGACATGAGTCGTGTCCACCCAGTCTTCCATGCGAGTACCTAAGTACCTAAAAGATACCATGAATCCCCACCCCAGTTCGCCGACCGCCCATATCCTAGACCTCCACCAATCATGTTACCCACAGGCCCTGAATTCGTTGTCAAAACCATCATAGGCCGACGAACCACTCAGGTATCTGATCATCCGGAACCAATCACTGAATACAAAGTCAAATGGACCGGATACCCCGACGGAGAATCTACATGGGAACCTCTCTCTAATCTTAAGAAYGCCATGAAACTTGTCCGCGCTTATGATCGTGCTAATCCTATGTCCTAGATACCTATATAACTATGACATAAACCCCCGCTAAACCCTCGCAACCCTGCTCTACACAAACCCTTGAACCCAGCCACCCTCCCTTTGACCCTGATTCCTGATGTCTAACATGCCCTTACCTTCGCCTAGCCTTGTCCCATCTGTCCTCTCCACTACCTTGTCTCTCTTGTCCAATGCATGTGGACCTGCGTGACGTCGGCGATAAAGGATCTAATGGCAAGCGCACGAGGACGATGGCCTGCTGCCTCACTGTTCATGGAGATTATGCACCTGGTTTGGCCACCATGCTGTTTCATCGGCCGGCATCCCGACTCGCAGACTTACTGGAGCAGGAACTTGCGACATGGATACTTGCATCAGTCAGCGACTTACCTGCTTCCAGATCAGACCTCATTGCAGTTCATGTACCGGACGCACCCTAGCACTTGGACTTTGGACATTGGGACTACTGCTACGCTTCTTGGACTTCTACCCCTTGCAGCCTCTGAAGACCGCTTCCACCACCTACTCCAAAACCGGACCAAGACCGCTGCAGACCTCCTTTCAAGACACTTGGACACTTTGTTCCCACGTGAGATGTTGCTTCTTCAGACACACCAGCCCTTGCATCCTGAACAAACATTTTCATTTTTTTTATTTTTTTCTCTTCTTCCGACTTTGACAACCCTGTAGAACATCATTAGCAATACCCTGTTTTCCTGAACACCGTCTCCCTTACCCAGTAGAACATCAATAGAAGTTCCCTGTTCCCTGAACTTTGTTCCCCCTTAACCTATAGCCAACCATGCAGTCCCCTTAGTTCATCAGTAGGACTACCCTGCTCCCTGCTGTCCCTAGTTCATCAGTAGGACAACCCTGTTCACCGGTACAAAACCCTGTTCCCTCTTACTCCCGCAGCCCATGCCACCCACATTATACCCCTCTTCCCTTTCGACTTGTTAACCAGTGATCGGCCCCGTCCCGTCCTTCACAGATCTGAGATTTCAGCATTGCTTCATGATTTTTGGCAGCCGGAACGTTGCCTTCTAGAGGGAGGGGATAGTGTTACAGACTACACCAAGGCTCGATCCCTGGTCCGCAGGACGGTACCCGCAGTTCACTGCACACATTTTCTTTTCTTTTTTTTTTTCTTTTTTTTCTTTTTCTCTTTGTTTTATTTTTCTAATTTGGGACACTTGGCGCCATCCAGCATTCTGGCACCCATTTTCAAACTTTCGATTTTCAGTTCAGCCCTGGGCAAATTGCACTTCTGCCCATCGGACTGAACTTGAGTCCGATACTTAAGGTTGGACCCAAGCCCAGTACGGGCATTCAGTCTGCGGCCTCGGTGCTTGTGCTTCGGTGACTTGCCTCGACATTGTGTTCGGAAATCCAAGACTTCGTTTTGCGACTTTGCCACTTCGTGTCTGCGTCCGTCAAGTCGTGTCGAGTCTGCATCGAGTTGAGTGAGTGTGTGTGTGTGCTCTCACTCTCTCCCTCTCTCTCCCAGCCTCGTTGCCTTGCCTCTGCCTCAGCCCCGTCACAACCCGTCTCTGTCCTCAGGCCCTCCCATCAGTCTTCCAGTCGAAGCTGCTTGAACCTGCCTCTCTCAATATCAAGCAACAACAGGAACATCAGGTAAGCCTCTCCCTTCTCTCTCTCCCTCACTGGTTTTAATGACCCTCAGCCTCTCAATACTAAGATAAGACACTCGCAGCCCTACTCTAGCTATGGCTACAATGGTGCTCTCTCTCTCTCTCTCTCTCTCTCTCTCTCTCTCTCTCTCTCTCTCTCTCTCTCTCTCTCTCTCTCTCTNCTCTCTCTCTCTCTCTCTCTCTCTCTCTCTCTCTCTCTCTCTCTCTCTCTCTCTCTCTCTCTGTTGACTTGGCATGGCCTGGCCCAGGTTGCCTCCTCGAATGGCTGAGATTTCCCAGACTTGGATGGCCCAGATTGTTGCCGGGCAGTGTGTGCCCTGACCCAGTGCACTTCGGAATTTCTGGAACTCTGCAGACAGCCTTTGAGTGCATCTGATCTATGGCCGTGTTTGACTCTTGGCAAATCTAACACTTCAGACTTTCGGGCCTGACTCGTGCAAGAGTCAAACAGTTGGTGTGAAAGGCCACCTGAGGTCCGCTTTTGACCTTTGACCCAGTGTGTGTTCACTTGTGGGCTTTACGGGCTTTTAGAGCAGGAAACACGACTTTTGACCTCTGAATCTGGACTTGGACCAAAAGTTATGACCTTGGACTCTATGCATTTTGAATTCCGCTTACTGCACACTTGTCATGCCGATTTCCAGTTCAATTGCAGAAACTTCAATTTTCACCATCTACGACCTTTCTGCAAAGATCCGCCATGCGGTGGATAAAGATCCAATTGCAAACAGCAAGATCCACACGATATTCCATGGCTATCTTAGGGTCGTACTTGCGGCACATCGATGCGGTGCGCGATGCGGTGCGGTGCACGATGTGCCGTGCGCCCCCCGGCTGTGCGCGCACTCATGCGCGATGCGCGCGCATCACTGTGCAGTGCGCGATAAGCGGCACTCCAGTGCGCAGTGCGCACGTGCGCTGGGGCGTGCGCATGCCACGCGCATTTGCACGCAGCGTGCGCGCGGGAATGCGTGGATTTTTTTTTTCTTCTCTCCGTAATACAATAAGAGTCCATGGTATATTAAATAATATCATAATATAATATGATATTATTTCACCAGCGACCACGCGATGAAGGTGCTCGCTCCAACAGAAAGCGAATCCGCGATTACAGCCTGATGGAAGATGGACCGACGAGGGATGGTGGAAAGACGAGGGAGGGGGGAAGTGAAGAACGGAAACAAGCATGATGAGAAGGGAGAAGGGAGGGAGGGAATGGAGGAGGGAGGGAATGGATGAGGGAGGAGCACACCAATGACAAGGGAGGAGCACACCGATGACAAGGGAGGAGCACACGGCAAATGGGGAGGGTATTCGCTGCCAATCGGACTTCGAAATTAAAAAATGCTGAAAGAAGATGGAGGACGGATGAAGTAGGAGAGACGAGGGAGGAGGGATGAAGTAGGAGAGACGAGGGAGGAGGGATGAAGTAGGAGAGACGAGG